AGCTCTTCCTTCCATGAAATGGTTCACAGAACCATTTATTGGCAACTCAAGAAGCAGGTGAAGCCAATCTTGAAAGAAACACGTTGTTTCTACTACTTGTAACATGTGGTCAGTATTCCAGTGAAATTATCAATGTTTTACTTTCCCCATTCTCATGCAGAGTTGTTGGACTGTATCACTGCTTCTGTACTATCCATGGTAACAATGATGCACACAGACAGCATGCCTGGAATCATACAAAATATTTGCATAGCAACTGTGCCAAATAGAACCAAGTTGTTTTACAGAAGAGTTTGCTTAACGACAGGGAATTCTCCAGGTATACCAAACAGTGGCCACTGGTTACCTCTTCACATGCTCAGCTGCATGTGAGAAAATTGGCATGAGGGGCTCCTAGGATTATATTCCTCTTTGCATGGTTAAACAGTTGGAAGCAGTAGTCAATTATGAGTATTTTGGCTTTTGTGTGAGTACATGGAAGAGCCCAGAACAGAAACCGAGGAATCTACTACTGTGGCTTTGTCTCATGGACTTAGAACTACAGAATATCACAGAGGCTGGAAGGGAGCTTGGAGATCATCTAGTCCAACACACACTGCTCAAAGCAGTGTCAGCCACAAGAGCCCAGGGACGTGTCCAGTCACGTTTTGAATATTGCCAAGGACAGAGTCTTTGCAGCCATTCTGGCTAAACTGTTCCAGTGTTCAAACATTCTTCCTCCAGTCCAGAAGCTTTACAGGACTAATGTGCTTTCATTTCTCTGTTGTTGATTCTCTAATACAGAAGACATGTCTGTGTAGAATAATAATGTTTTGTCAGTAGACCAAAAAGCTCTCTTTGCCAGGCTTGGTAACCTGTCAGGTTACCAAGCCTGAGTCAGGGAAGTATTCATAAATAATTGAGCTTTCTCAGATGAAGCAGTGCGACCCTTGGCCTCAGTATTATTTATCTTATTTAATAAAGGATGTTCTGGGGGTACATTCAGGATCAAGAAGAGTTTTGTTAATGCTGAAGGACAGTACTGGTATCATAGCCAATTAATGTGCCTGTTCCTACTGATGATAAATGGGTCTGTCGTCTGTTCATCTGGCATTGAGCCTCGAGCCTTACATAATCATTTGTGGCTATACCCAAGGGTTTTGATAGTTAACATTTCAGCTTTTACAGGTCAACAGAATTTTTCAAGAAAGATAGATTTGGTAAATAGCAGTCTGCAGCAGAAAACTGGAGGTGAAAACAAAATAATATTCAGAGGATAAGGTCTGTAAAACGGGCCGAAACTCATCTGAGGAAGAACCTTTTCAGTTCTATTTCAAAGTTTAGGGAAAGGAGAAAAGTGTGAGAAAAGAAAAATGCATCAAAGGAGCTCTGGTGAATCCAGGCTGGCTTAGCCTTCATGGGTTAATAGATCATTTGAAACTGCTGTTTTCAGTGGCTCTGAAATTGCAGGAAGTGGTTTGAGGCCAAGAGGGAATAATGACTCCAGGAGACATAATTTCTAGGGAGGAACTGAAGTCCTGCAATTCTGCTTTGGAGGAAACACAAGCCACAGAATGAAATTCCTTGCAGTTTCAAGGTTAGCAGAAAAGCCGATGGCTGGAAGAGAGAAATCTGAGGAGGGAAGCAGAAAATATGAAATTATGTCTGTGTGCCTATGTGTGGGCAATGTTATGCCACATCACCAAGCCTTTTGTCCTTAAGCCAAGAATCTGAGCTGGAAATGCCTTTTGCAAGGTCCTTCCAAAATGCACCTCAGCTCTCCAATTCTGAGTGTTCATGTCAATTCAACATGGAAACATTGGGATACGGGTTTTGAAATACTTTAATGATTACTGCCCTCAGATAGATGATGGACAGGCAGAAGAGAGAGGGAGGGAGGAGTGTAGGGAGGGAGGGAGGAAAAGTCTCTGCTCATTTGACACTTCACCAGATGAGAAAACAGAGATGGCCATGCACAACTTGCACCACTCTCACTGCTACTTCTGGTGGCTTTCTATCAATAGACTCACATCTGAGACCCACAGACAAAGAGAAAAGCGTGTCTTTACAGATTGATCCCACCAAAGTGGCAGAGGCACAAGAGTTAGCTCAGTCTATATTTAATCTACCAGTCTCCCTGGAGTCAGCGGAGAGAGGCACCTTCATAGGGCAATTCAGAGAAGGAATATGACTGCAAAGGCAGCATTAACCTTTATGACTGTTCTGCTTTTGCCAGGAGTCAAAAGGATCAATTCATAGCTGAGTGGAGAAGACTTATACTGGCTAAGAAGCAGACCCAGTATCAATAAAACTACCACAGTGTGTTCTCTGTATCACAGAACTGCCATATGTCTCCACTTATGGGGATTGGGTATGGGCACTGTGGAGGCAATTGCTTTTCTGGGCAGGTTAATGTAACAAAAAGCGAGCCGCTTCTGCAGCCATTAATCTCCCTAAAGCCCATAGTCTCAGTCCTCCTGTGCTGTACTCTGTGCTGTGCTTCATTATGGAGTCTTTAAACACCTCAGCTAAAGAGAGAGAGAGTAATTTAAAAAGAAAACACAGCTTTGGCTCCTTTTAGTTGGATTATTGGAGAAGTAAGGTTCCTCTTGGGTTAACTTTCTTAGACTTTTCTACTTTTGTTTATATTGTACTACAAAGGCCATGTGCTATTGAGTAGACAACCAAAAAGAATGCCTAACATCAGAATATTTAGTAAATCAAGATAAAATAAGGTATTTAAAATTGTGAGTTTTAAGTATTAAAGCATTTTTGTTATTTTTTATTTTCCTACTTCCAATTTAGTAATAAAATCTGATGATCTTGCTTTTATTTTTAATAATAATCTTATTTACAGTACTTTAGGAACTACAGCTTCAAGAAGAAAACATAAATGAATGTTTATAGTATAAAACCTGTTTTTATTTAATACCTTGGAGGTTTGGGGGAGGCTTGTTTGGGTCTGTTTTATTATCAAGAGGTATCCAATAACAATTTTCTTTATTTTAATTATGTCTGGAATATGCTGCTCATTGTAAACAGAACACGTAGTTATTTAACATGCATATTTTAGTTCAGGGATTTGAAGCAGTCTACTGGGCTAGGACACATGTTCTATATTTCCATTTATTGTCTCATAGAACTTCTTGTTCTAAGAACTTGTCAGGACTTCTGAGATACCTTTGAATAATCTCCACTTTCTGTTGTGACTTTTTCTTTTGCTTATCAAAATAGTATTATAAATACATTTGTGTACCTCTTGGTGGAGAAAAGATTTACTGTTTCTGATAGTTGCTTCACTGCTGTAAATCAATATAGTGCTACTTATATCAGACATTCTACTATTTACCCCAGATTGAACGTCTCCTCCTTCAGTTCCAATATTAACTCAGTTAAAAATAGCAGTTTTATATTTAAACCTCTGCTTCCTGAAGTGACAGTAGGTGGGCCAACTTGTAACATGATCAACATTTACAGCATTATCTCTACTGGAATACATTTATTCCAGCTCCTAACAAACAAAACATAATAGATTTTTGGAATCCCACTGTTATAATTTTTACAAAAAATCAATATTAATTAAAGAATGAAAAATGTGAGCCTTAATATAACATGCATACATGTGCACAAGTAGCATACAACACAAAATTTTTGGCATGTTGTTATGCAACTCATTCCCTGAAGCAGGACTTGTGCAAAGGGGTGTTGTGCTGGGCTTGTATATGGGGAGTAGAAAAAGTGAGATGGGGAATCACAGAGTCATGTTGTCAATGCAAAAGTTGCGATTTAGTGCAAAGTTTAGCTTTAAAATTAACTTAAAAGCATTTGAGATGCCCAGAGCCATTTTAAATGCCCAAGCTTATTTAGGAGACTGGCAGAGAAGATGCAGGATTTACAGGAAATCCATGTCTTTCTGGACAGCAGCTGAAGGACAATCAGAATAACTAGGACATCTCTAGTTGCACTGGACAGTTTTATGTGGACAGCTGAGCTGGGATGCATCTTGCATCTGCAGTCACAACTTTTCAAGCTATTTTTTGATGACACTGAGGGGCATGTTAATTGTGACCTACTAGAAACTGTCGGCCCTTTGCAAGATCATATACTGGCTCATTTTCTCTGCTATGCCACACATTATATTGGTGAGTGCTGTCACTAAACAGAGTGACATTACCCAGTGGATCTCATGGTAAATATAGATTCAAGTACCTCTAAAACTGAGAGTTGTCTTCAAGTCCCCATTAAATATAGAGCTGCTAAAAAAAGTGTCCAGGACATTACTACGTTAAAGTGTCTGAACAAGATGCAGTAGAAGACTGAGATGGTAATTTTGTTGATGTATGTTGAAACAGTTGGACTCATCCAGGTGTATTTCTCCTAAATTTCTTTGAAAAAACCAATATAATGTGAAAAACTTACAGTATTTGAGTGATATTTTAAAATAAGGAAATACGCTTTATTACCAGCATTAAGCATAAAATATAGACAGGAAAGGAAGTAAAAATACAGTTAGAATGTTTGTCCCATGAAAAACACTCTCACTTTCTCCATGTTTGAACGTCTGCATGTAACTTAGTATGAACTCAGTTTCATTCCATTCAGCTTGAAGCACCTCACATTCGATATACTCCTTATCCAGCCTTTGAGAGCACATCTAATGTGTGAAGCCACCAATGGATAGGGGCATGGTGTGTATATCTTGGGTAGGAGCAAACCTGGAACATGCTGTAACTGTTCCTGGGGAAATCAAAGTATGGAAAGGCAGCTTGGACATGGCTGGCCTTAGATATGGAGGTAGATACTCATTTACCCATATCAATACAGACATTAAAGTGGAGTACCAGTTCATGTCTGAAGTGATAGCCTGGATTCTGATGGAGGTACTCTGGCAGATAGAGGGAATCTGGGTCTTAGAACCCTGACAGCTTCCATGCAAACAACCTTTACAAATCCATACAAACAACCTTTAAAAATCCATGCCAGTCTTGTCTGACACTCAACACCTGGCTCCTTTTCTGTAGTGAGGATGGCTGGACCACTGCAGTGGCGCACTGATTTTTGTGGATGGTGATCACAAAAAGAGAATTGAGAAGAGGCCACCCGAGTTATTCTGACACATGACTTCAGTGCTTTCTATTCTTAGACAGATGAGGATCTGAAATATGTAAGTACACAATCATTGTTTTTTAGATTTATTTGCAAAAATGAGTCAAAGAAGTAAAACTCTTCATCTATAATGGGTGTCGTATTTAGGCATTCATAATTTTCCTTTGATGGGTGTTTATACTGGAGATGATAAATCAAGATTGTCCTCACAATATTCTAAGCACTGTTATTCGTCTCCATCCTTGTTTTTTTTTAAAGAAATGAAAAGTGCAAAAACCATGAAATTATATTTGCAGTGTCATTTTAAATTTATTGTCTAATAAATAGTGATCACTTGGAAAATCTATTTTTTTCCTATGTTGTTAACAAGAGTTTTAACCAAAGTGATTGAATCAAGATGAGAAATGATCCCAGGTTTCTGAAGCTTGAATAAATGATATTGTCAATGTTAATGCACTGGTCTGAAAGTTTATTTGAAGTATCAGAAATAACCTAAATATAATTTCATGGCAGCTCATATACTACTTAGCATAATTTATTCCTTATCACAGAACCTCAATTCCTTGTGTTTTACTGGCATTTCCAGCTCAGCAAATACCTACCAACACTCAGCTATTTACTCCTGCACACTCCCAGCACAAGTAAAGATAACGCTTCTTTTTTTCCCACCAAATAAATTCTATATTGACTTACAACTCAATCTTGACTACCACCAACACTTCTGTTGAATGACAGCAACCAAAATTTCATGTGGATATACTACTTCTGATTCATCTAATGATGTTGCATAAGATGCCTTTTAGAACTCTATTATCTCCAATAAAAAATGTTTGTGTGCAGCAGTAAATAAGTAGAACTTGTCAGCTGCAGAGTGTTTTACCATGGTTTTACAAGTGAATCTCCATCCCAAAGTATTTCAGAGAGAACAAAAGAAATTTGAAATGTTCCTACATATGCCAAGACTCCAACAAGCCATAATAGAGACACAATTGAGTTTATTTCTACAGCTTGAAGCCAGTAACACTGTACTTTAAAGTACAAAATACAGTCAACGAGGTCTGCAATGGACTTGAAAGGACAAGGCTGAGTCCTATGGCATTTCTGGTTCTGAAATTCGTCACGGGAGAATGTTTTTACTCAAATAGGGTTCAAAGTATAGCTTTATGTCTCAAGAATGTACTGGTTCTCCTTTGGTTTTAAGCAATAAGCATAAGCTTATATGTGTTTTCTTCCCCTGCTCCAGGTTATAAAACATTTCAGATTATTGTGTTTATATAGCAATGAGACTACCCTGAATTCTTGCAGCTTTGGGCAAATTTTTGAACATACACATTGTACCAGTGGCAGGCAGATTGTTCTTGATAGACCTGAATTAAAATAAGTGTATTTTAAGGAATATTTAGATTTCTGACTGTAGCTGACTGGTTTGGTAGAGAATGGTGTAAGACCAGTGCCCTTATATCAAGTCCCTTGTTCATCTGAAGATTTCCAGAGGAATTGCAATAAAAGGAACTACAGCCTAGGCATCTTCACTGCACTGGATGGAGAAAGCAAGGCTTTTCAGGACAAATAAAAAGTGTCATGGCAATAGTAGAGCTCTGGCATTTATTTTTTTTTCAAAGAAGAAAATAAATAAAAAGCTTCTGAGTGGAAAAATGAAACTATTGGACCTTTTTGCAGCTATGCAGATATGTAAAGGATGCTGATGCTGCCATGAAGTATCTGCATAACTCCAGATAGGTGCTTTTGTATCATAATTTGTTCAGCAACTATTAAAATATCTTATTCCTTTAAGAAAAAGACCTCCTCATAAGTATCAGGGCTTTCTTAAAGGAAGAATAAAAACTCAATTTCCAGAAATTCTACATTTAAAGAGACCTATCAACCTAAACCAGACTTTTTGACAGCTGTGGAAACAAGCCAAGATTGTATTAAAAAGTGGTATTGTGCTAGGGGTAACCATGCCTTGTCAGATGTGTTGCATATACCCTGCTGTGTGCATGGATATTTATGGATATGCCTATACAACACATCAAATCAAGGGGAAAAAAAAACAACTTACAGGAAGGTGTGCTAATATCTGTCTGTCCATGGCTTAAAGATACAGCATGAATGCATTGTCCTGGCAAAGAGAGTGAAGGACATAAATGAAAGGTTATTCCCATAGTAACTCAGTAGTTCAAGGACATTTATCAGTACTACATATCTGCTGGAAAAGAGTGGATGAGGGATCCATTCATCTTAGTTCCCCATGGCTGCTATCTGCTTGAAAATCTCACCCATTGCTACCTGTATAGGGAACCTTGACAGCTGGGGACAGTTTGAATTATTTGAACCATGCATCTCTCCACATGCCACCAGGATGAGGATTTACATTTGAAATTGGAATTGGTTTATAACCTTGCAGAAATGCACAGGAGTAATATATGGATCTTATCAGTATGTCTGGCCAGTTTTGAGTTCCAGCAGAAATGTTGCCACATAAGGATCTCCTCTGAGGTACTCAGATATCAGTGTGATTAGCCTGGCAGACAGACCTCTGTATTGGGGAAGCAAGGTCAGTGCTCCTGGGACAGCAGGAGACAGAAAGATTCAATAATAATACTTTATTATTCTATCAAATGATATCTGCAGAACACTTTAAAATCATTATATGAAGGACAAAGGATGCTCTATATACAGGGGGTAAAGGCTGACATTTCTACAGTGCATGTAATTAACAGAATTCCATGCAAGTTTGGCCTTTGGAAGAAAAATAATCTTTGGTTGCACACTGGGCATGTGGAGCTTCCATAATAAACACACAGGGAATCATTGTAAGGCATCTACAGAATCAAGATTATTACTTTGTTGGTGCCATGTCCTCAGAGAGCCTGAGGTTCAAAGACCTATTACTACAAGTTAGGGGGCTCATGGAGACAAGAAACAGATGCAGTACTTGATCATTCTTTGTTTGCAGCTTCTCTAAGCACCTCTTGACCTAGGTGAATGTTGGTGAGAAGCTAGAGTATGTCTAGGTAAAAACATCTTCCCTGAGCCAGTTTATGGAAAGAGTTGTGATTCCTTTCATTAAAGTGTGGTCAAAGGAACACTACTTAGCATGGGTTTTATTGGTTGTTGCTAAGAAATTGGTTTTTTTTCTTTTTTTCTGAGACTTTTGGAAGTTCTTCAGATTACTCAGACTGCAAATTAACATGCTACAAAGTAAAGCACTTGTTGCTCCATGTCAGGGTTCCTCTCTGTTGTTATGCAAAAGGGACACAGGAGATGATCAGAAGTAGTCAGCTAACCATGCCCTTATTTCACCCATTGTACCCTACATGGTTTGTTCTCTCTGTGATCACATTGCAGTTTTGGATCCTGCTCAGCAGTCAAAATTTAAGGGCAGAGGTGTGGCCTAGTGTGGAGAACACAGGGCTGAGGTGTGGTAATCTTACATCTACTCTGGATTTGCAAGGGTTTTTTGATAGATTATATCAGTCTCTCCCACTCATTTATATAATGAAATTAATGAGACTGGCTGACATTCATAAAGGACTTTGAGATAAATAGAATAAAATACCCCTTAGCAGATGCATAGTTTTAATATATATTTTTTTTTTTCCCTTAATGATGTACTCTTTCCAGTAAATGGGCTCAGGTGATATACTGAGGTAAATGGGAATAGGTGATATACTCAGACCTTTGCAGCCTCCACTATGCAAATTAATTTCCAGTACCTAGGAATATAGAAGTACAGTACCTCTTTCATTAGACATGGATCATTTCTATAATGAATGGTTGGCATTGCTGCATGATAATTTATCAGGATTTGGGAAAGGCATAGAATGCCAGAAAACTGGCAGATAAATCTGATTTTCGTTTTTAGAGCTGGGACAAAAGAAAACATATTTGCTGATGTGCATAGTAATTTTTTACCTCAGACATAAACCTGTTGGTAGAACTACACTATGTGAAGTGAAGCACAGAACTCTCCTAAAAACCAAAAACATCTTTAGAAACTGAATATTTTTAAAGTATTTAAAGACTGACACTGTGCTAGCTTCAGGTTTGAAGTCACTATCAGTCACACCAGTCTGTGAGGAAAAAAAATTGTATAATAGGTGCAAAGTGGTTAAAAATGGAAAAATGGTGAACAAATTTCTTCAAGATTTTCCATGAAGGTAATCAGATGTTTGAACAGGTTGACCAGGAAAGTTGGGTCATGGTGACTTTCAAATAGCAGGACAAGTTCTTGAACCACCTAATATATCTAAACCTGCCTTTGAGATGGAGGTTTGACTACAGATCTCCAGAGATGCTGGTCAAACTTGTGATTCTAGGAAGAAAGGCCATCAAAGGCAAAAGTTCAAATTAAAAGCTGGAAAGATCAATTTTTCATCATCCAAAGGCACCTCTGTAGCTTTGGATGTCTTAGTGGCACAGGGTGTTTTTCTGTTTATTTGCTGCCAAGAGTGAAGGACAAGGCCACCTTCTCTGACAGCCCTTTGAAACAATGTGAGAGGGGGTCAGATAAATTTTCTGATATTCATATTTAGCTTCAGCTAAACATTAGCTGATTCTCTCTTTCTCCAAGTTATCACTTTTATGATGGGGATATAACACTATCTTTTCTGCACTCAATATATCCATGTAAAGTAGTGGGATGAGATTCTTAGCTGGAGACTTTCCCATCCTTACAGGTTCTCTTCAGGTGTAATGTCATTGCACTTGCTGTACATGAACACTGAAGGGAACTGTTATCAGTCACTTCAGAATATCCATGTTAAGGAGGAGGTTAATCCTTCTGGGTCCTCACCTCAGGCTGTTCATAACAGCAATATGATGGACAAAATAGACAAATCCAAACTGCCTGAAGAGTCAAGAAATGGGCCAAATGGCTTATCCCATTTTTTTTATTTTCATCCAAAAACACTGTGATTTGCTTCAACATGAAGCAAGACAGCCAGCCAACAGATAGGTCACACAGACAACACTTACATACCCTGGAATTCTCCTACCATCTGCTCCCAGCTCTCTCATCTCCACTCAGTTCCATCCCTTTATCCTTGCTTCCTT